TTGTGTGCAAAATTCGAGGTCAATCGGACGTGATTTGATAGGTTTCAACGTCGTTTGTAAAATTTAGAAATTTCAAAGCTCATTAGGCTTGAATCCGTGTGCAATCCGTGTTTTTGATGTTGTTTGAAGCGATTTGAGGATTCGACTAAGTTCGTATCGTGTTTTAGGACTTGTTGGTATGTTTGGTTGAGGTCCCGGGGGCCTCAAATTGATTTCGGGTGGCTAACGGATCAAAGTTAGATGTTGAAGGATTGTTGAAGTTGATTCCTGCTGGTGTAATCGCACCTGTGGATGGGGAACCGCAGGTGCGAGCCAGCAGAAGCGGGAAGGAATCCACAGAAGCGGCCAAGGAAGTGAGGTAGTAGATGGTCTCATGTGCGATGGTTTTACCCCACCTGCGTGACCACAAATGCGGCAGAAGAACCGCGGAAGCAGATTTGGCTGTGTAGTTAGTCTCCGCAGAAGTGGATATTTGTCTCGCAGAAGCGAGTCCCCAGGAGAGGAAATGGATATAGGTGCGGAGTTGGCCGCAGAAGCGGCTAAGTTGCCGCGGCTGCGGAAAGCCTGGGCAGAACCTATATAAACGAAGGTTCCGAGATTTTTACCATTTCTAACATTTTGAGCTCGGATTTTGGAGGTTTTTGAGAGGGTTTTTGAAGAGATTCTTGAGGTAAGCTCCTTATGTCCATTTTTCTTCAATAATTTTGTTTTCCCACTGATTTTCCACCTAGTTGGTATGTTCTTGAGGTGAAATTTGGGGGTTTAAGGCTAGGGATTTGGAGAATTGATTTTGGGAGTTTGAGTGATGTACTGATGTCGGATTTTCATAAGTTTGGTATGGTTAGACTCGAAGTTAATGGGCTTTCGGTTTTTGTGGCTTTTGTCGGATTTCGAGACGTGGGCTCGGGGCCAGATTTTGGCCAATTTTGGATTTTTGCTTATAATTTCATATTTTTCTTGTGGAATTGATTCCTTTAGCCTGTATTGATTGTATTGTACTGTTTGTGGCTAGATTCAGGACATTTGGAGGCCGACTTACGAGGCAAAGGCGTATTGGAGTAGAGTTTTGCTCAGATTGAGGTAAGTAACACTTCTAAACTTGGTGTTGAGGGTATGAACCCTGAATATACATGTTATGAGTTTGGTGTTGAGGTGACGCACATGCTAGGTGACGGGCTTGTGGGCGTGCACCGTGTGAATTGTGACTCTGTTATTTCTGCGGCACTATGTAGTTACCTGACCTTATCTATAACCATTAAATCTCTACCTACTAGAGCTATTGAGCTGTGATCCATGTTAGAAACTATGTCTAGGCTACATGCTTATTATGTTATGACACACTAAGGTCATTTCTGCTATTGAGTTATTTGCTTACATTGCAGTTACACGCTCAGTCGTACGCATTCATATGCATATCATATCTCAGTCTCTGTTACTATTTATTGATACATCATATCATTATTTTGGGCTGATTTTTCATGACATTGTGAGCCCGAGAGACTAGAGAGATAGATGATTGAGCGAGGCCGAGAGCCTGATTGTGAGAATATTGATGGGATCGGGTTGCATATCGCAGCAAGTATTATTGATTTATGATGGGAGTGGGCTGCACGCCGTAGCAGATGTTATTGATTTATGTCATGATTGGCTTATTATAGCACTTGGGATGAAGGAGCCCCTCCGGAGTCTGTATGCACCCCCAGTGAGCGCAGGTACCTACTGAGTGCGAGTGCCGAGTGACTGTGAGGAATGAGTGACTGTGAGGAATGAGTGATTGTGAGGTTGGAGTGAATCGGAGGACTGAGTGATTGTTGCCCCGAGAGGCTGTATATGATTTCATTGTTATTGCACATAGTTTCCATATATCACTGTTTTGAAAACTTCTAAGAGATATTTTTATCCAGTTTTTACTTGAACTTGGCATGTATAAACCGATTTGACTCGATTTGTCGGGTTTGAAAGCATGTCTACTTTCCTTATTGAGACTTGATCCAAGAATTTCTGAGCACGGAGGGTGTTGATATTTCACATAACTGACTGATGGAGATTTCGAGGTAGTTGTCAGGCGTTAGTCCTTGTTTCTCCTTCCTTATCTTTTCTTTATTTGTATTTTGGTCCAGACTTTCGTAGATATTTCTTTTCTATAATTTAAAACAAGTGAACAAATATATCAAAATTATCGAGTATCAAACCTTGAAGTCTTTCAAAATATCAATAACAATGTTCAAGATTCAAGAGTCGAGAAAGCGTATACTATCAATCCAAGAGAGTTCCCCAAATATCCATTTTTCGCTGAATATGTACGCCATGCCATCACACTAAGAATAATTAGATATCAAGTTGGACCAAAGCCCCAATTCAAGTAGGGTCAAAACCCAATAGTCAAGAGAATTAAGAACCATGTTAAAAACAGCTTCCTAGTTCGTACTTAACACGAACAAGTTCCATAATTTAAGACGAACTACAAATCCAAAGTCAAGATGGCAAAAGATCCGAATCAAGAGGCATGCCAAGATGAGCAACAAAGTCACTGCCACAAGAAGGACAAAGCCCCAACAAGAATGCAAAATGATCAAGCAATCCGTACGAGTGGGCGATTTAGCTAATATCTTATAATACTTGATATAATACGAATACAACGATATAAATTAAAGAAAGGAGAAACAAAATCTCAATTTATTTTATATCATTCCAGTAAGTAAAAACAGTACAAAGTTTATACACAAACCTTGGTGTTTTACCACAAAACAGTTCAACCACAACTTGAGGACGTCCGAATCGTCTACGTCATAGACCAACCAAATTCGTCCACTTCCTCAAAACTTCCCCTTAGATTTTACAAAGGTATATATACCTTAAATACATAATCAAATATCTATGTAAGTTCAGCGACTTAACATGTCAAACTAAACATGATATTGGTGAATATTATCCCAAATTTTTGAAACAGACTGGACAGGACCATTGTCTAGTGTTGTGGCTCAGTTTTGAAGCTTTAAACAGACAAACTAGACTGTATAAACTTCATGAAAGTCGTAGACGTATGTCTTAGGGACTCGGAAAATCTTGAATCACCCCAATATCAGTTTCATACAAAAATTTATGCTAAAATTACTAACAATAGTACAGGGAGGATTTGTAAAACAGAAAATCTGGGCAGCACCTGCCCTGTACTTCATCACCCATTTTCGGGTAAATAAAAGACAAACCAGGTTTTGGTACCTGAATAAGAGTTATAGATCTTCAGCAAAGCTTGGATCACTTACAACGCATCTCTATATGAAAAGATATGAAGATATAATAGCTGTCTAGTGTAAAAACGGGGTTAGTAACTTACCTCAAAAGAGAGGAGCAACTTGTGCTTCACCAAGAACTAGTTTTGCTGGTTGGTTTAGTAAAAATTTCTGATGGTTTTCATGTAGTATTTCATATGATAAGAAGTAGAGAGGTTTGGGATTTTCTTTGGTATTAAGGAATGAAAAAATGAGATGAGGTTATGAAAAAGCATGTCACAAAAGTAATATATAAACTTTGGATAAATATGAAAAAGGTGGCTACTCAAACTACTAAATATTTTTAGATTAATAACAAGTTTGCTTCCCAAAATATTATATATATCTATTGCATTTTATAACAATTAATCAAAAACACCATGGAACTTCTTTGTACATATTAACACAATCTAGAGTAAGCAACTTTCCTATATCGTCAAATTCACATTTAGGAAGTGCGAAGTAAAATCTATAACCATTATAAAGATGATCAATCGAGAATGCAAATATTAGTTAAAACTTTAGGGTATTACATCGCAATTGCGAGGTCTGAGGCCTGCACCAGAACCAGCAAGTCCTAACTCTTTCAACACTCTATCACGCGTCCGAAACTCGCCCAAGCCCCCCGGGCTCCAAACCAAACATGCACACAAGTGTAATAACATCATATAAACTTGCTCGCACGATCAAAATACCAAAATAACACCTAGAACTATGAATCAGACACCAAAACGGCTGAAATTTTCAAAGAAACTTAAGAACTTTCAATTTTTCAAGCGGACATCCAAATCACGTCAAATCAACTCCATTTTACACCAAATTTTGCAGACAATTCATAAATACTAAAATGAACCTATTTGAAGTTTCGGAACCGAAATCCGAATTCGGAAGCAATAAAGTCAACCTACGGTTAAACTTAGGAATTCTTTAAACCTTTAAACTTCTAGTTTTCAACAAATTTTGTTAGATCAAGCTAGGGACTGCGAATTCGATTATGGGCAAACGCCCAAATCCCAAATCACGATACGGACCCGTCGGAATCGTCAAAATACTGATCCGGGTCCGTTTACACGACCGTAGTCAACCCGAATAAGTTTCAAGGCACGATTTCACATTTTCGTCAATTCTCTCATAAAAACTTTCCAGAAAGAGACATGAACTGCGCACGCAAGTCGATGAAGGCTAAACGGAGCTAATCGAGGTCTCGGAACACATAAATAAAGGTTAAAACTAAAAATGACCTATCAGGTTATAGGTCATCACAATATGTATCAACTGTATAACCAAGGCGAAATACAAGGGTGTATACAAATAATACAACTTGTATCGATTGTATATATGGGTGTATACAATGGATACAACATGTATCGACTGTATTTATCCACGCAATGAATACAACCAAGGCGAAATACAAAAATACAGAAAAATAAAATATTCTTGTTCAGAGTCGAACTCAAAACCTCCGCTAACTAAGCGGGCGCTAACTAATTGAGGGACGAGAGCTTATTGCTCTCTTATTTTAGTTCGAAACAATAAATCTCTTATTTCAAGGATTTGCTATAAAATTCAAATATAACTACGAATGATAAATTTATTGAAAGTATAGTTACGAATGATAAATACATTGTAAATGCTTGATGTGTCACGTAATTTTCCCTGATTTTTACTATTGTTTAATTTTATCTGCTTTCAATAAGAATTGTTGGGAAAGTTTAACAGCAAGAACAGTTCTAAAATGCTAATTACTCTTTTAACCTCCGTTCCAAACAATTGTGGTTCAACCAATAGCAACATAGCCCAAACGGATCAACATGAATAATTATCTTACATATTCTCAAGAAAACATATATCTAACGTTGCATAATTAGGCAAAACTAATTGAGATCATTAAAACAGTTAACAGCAATTTACATGGTGGGATCTTTTCCAAACCCCATTAGAGCATGAGTTAAAAACATTGAAGCTCTGCGAGATGTCTCCAACATACGCCCAACGAGTGGTACCTTCACTGTGTCCCTATTCAGTAAAGGTTTCTTATCCCAGCTGCAAACATTTTACGTAAACATTCAACAACAAAAAATTATGCAATAACCAAACATTATATAGAATGTGTTTGGCAGGACAAGTGAGGGTTGCTCAGTTGGTTAAATGCTCTAACTTTAGCCAATTGGTCGAGGGTTCAAGCAGCAATGGGGGAGCCACAACTTAGCAAGCCTCACTCGTTTTGGAAAATTTATGTCATGTGACAAAAAGAGAGATCAGCCGAGCCTGCATCTTATTGTTGATCAAGTATGAGTAATGCATCTTATTTTAGGATTCAGTTTATCTAGCAAGTGGATATTGCAGGGAACTTGATCATGCTTAAAGAACTTCACTTATAAGTAAAACATAGTGTTACAAATTGTCGTTCACATCCCTAAATACTGAGAAAATAATGTTATGCTCTCGCGGTAAGGAAACAAAAGAATATAATGTGATCAACAACATCCTTATTGAACTGCAAATTCAGAGAAGTCTTGTGAAGTTCAAGTACAAGGGATGTGAAATATATACATACCAATCTTCATGACGAACAACCTTTCCTCCTTCCGTGTACAACTTGATCAGTGATATCATATGAATGTCTTTCCCCAAGAATTTGTAATATTGTTTGTTGTCAATTAATATCTGAAGCCATCAACCATAATGTCAGAGTCCTGAAGCAGAGGAATCAACAAAGACGAAAGTTGGATCAATAGGACTCAACAACAACAAACCCAGTGTAATCCCACAAGTGGGATCTAGGATGGGCAATGTGTACGCAGACCTTACCCCTACCTGGTGAAGGCAGAGAGGTTGTTTCCGATTGACCATCGGCTTAAGAAAAGGTGAAAAAAGGAAGCAGTAACAACAAACAATAACAACAGCAGGGAAATAAGATAACTGAAGCGATTGAAACACCATGTAGTAATAGAGATCTAACCTCAGTATTTCCTGGAGAAATTTCTTTCTCTGTGATGCTGTATTCCACGATTCTAGATTCACTGAAGACCTGAAATGCACAAAAGTATCAGTTTGAATTATTCATATACAACAATTGCAAGCCCTTCAGAGAGAATTCATAATATGATGATCAATTAGTTAATTCAAAGAACTATTGACTGTAAAACTAAAGTAGTTACAGTCACTCAGTGAAGATGTTCGCCTTTGCTAGGATAGAAGATAGAAGAACGGGCTCAGGAACCGAAACCGATGAAATTCAGGAAAAACATGGAATTGACCAAAAAATGGAGGACAAGACACTAGGTTATCGTAGGACGAATCCAACAAACTTAACTAGTAGTGCTGCAAGGTTTTCCACAACATTTTCAGCACTTGACAGTAAACTTATCACTATGCTGTAGCAATGTGGATAATGCAATGCACATTAATGGCAACACAGACAGGAGTAAGCACATGTCTCAATATGGGGAGAATCCTCAAAATATTAATAATGTATTTTTTTTCTTTGAGAAATGAGTTTCAAGAACAATATTGCCATCTATTAGAAGCAAAAACAGATTGTTAAAACTGCATCAGGCAATTGATTTCCTAAAATAGTTCTCGTGTAATCCTTATTGTTTTTCTTTCCACCAAGAAGTGTATCAATGTAGCATAAACAGGAGGTTAATATGAAATAGGAGAGAGAGAAAAAAGTGAAATTAGTTAGACCTTGTTAAGCGAATAAAATGACGACTTTATCTGCTTTACCCTGCAACCAACAGTAAAATTCATAATCAGACTTACTAATAAAGAGATATTTGAAGAGTGGTTTAGAGATGGAAATGAAATTAAAAGGAACAAGCTAGTTACTAGATGCATGAAAGGCAGAAAACAGAAAGCAAGCACCACTCTGAATTTTCACTTAGAATTGACATCACTCCAATATCTGTTTAACTGATATTGGTTTCCTTTCTTCACCTAACTTCTAAAATAACACTTCTTTAAGGCTATATATCATCATTAAACATGGAAAAAAGCGGGATACAATCTTATTCAGGTACTAAATCCCACTTATTCAAAGGATAAATCTACTTTTGATTATGACTTTCCTTGTATGTTGGTCTCACTTCAGCCATGTATGTATATTTCTCATATTCAGGCATACGCTCAGGGTGTGGAGGAGCGTAAGCAGAAGTACAGGGCCGATCCTGAGCATGAGAGGGGACAGAGTAAGAGAGCAAGATCTTCAGGTCCTTCTAGTGAGTTTCAAGGTGGTCAGAGATAGCAATGCCCGAGGTATCCGGCCCAGCCATCGGGTAGTGCACCCCTTTAGTTTGCCGATAGGAGATTTGATCGTTCCACATATTCAGGGCGCAGTCAGAGTTCCAGGGACTCTAGTTCTCAGTATATGGGTGAGTCAAGTAAGATGAGACCTCCCTTGCCACGATGTGCTCAGTATGATAAGCAGCATGTCGGGTAGTGCCTTGTTGGGTTGGGTGTTTGTTATACTTGTGGTTTGTGGTTATCCAGGCCACATTTGAGAAATTGTCCAACGAGAGGTGGTGCAGGTATAGTTCAGCTCTGTAGCTGACTCATCATCATCAACCCCCCCCCCCCCCCCGGAAAGGTTCACAGGCACCAATCGGTCGTGGTAGAGGCATAGGTGGAGCATCTAGCTCGAGCGGTCCTCAGAACCACATTTATGCATTAGCGGGTCGACATGATCAGGAGTCGTCACCTAATGTTGTTATAGGTATATTATTAGTCTCCTCATATGAAGTATATGCATTGATTGAACATGAATGCTTGATTTACAAATTTACTAATCACTAGGTGTGAATATTGAACTATGACCAAGATTGCTTGTCAAGCTGCAACTTTGAGGAGAATACATAGTCTCCCGTTATCTCTTTACCACGTAAAATGATTATAAAAGGAAAAATTCTGCTACTTTAACTACGTTGACAATGTTTAATTCTTGCTCTTATACACCATGAATTAAAGTCACTGGTCTAAATGGACACATTTTTCTACTACTAAACAAGGCAACTAAGATAGTCAAGCATACCCGTGTGCACGCATAAGGGGATCTTCAAACGTTGCATTTGGAGCATATATCTCAAAGTCTTGCCTTGTGGCACGTGACGCATATCTGAATCCAGAAATTGAACATTTTCATTAATTAAAATGATTCATTAAAAATTGATTAACTAATACTTGCATAGGAGAACATAATTAATAACTCTCTCAATGAAAGACGGTATGAATGATATATCCCCTTATGAAATAGATAAACCAGAACATAGTTGAAGTTGAACAGCGAGCCACGAGACAAAATGGTGCTCCTATAAGGAAAGGATCTAACAAACAACTCTTATACTCTGTATTTATTCTTTTTTAATCATCAACATTAGCCCCAAAAAAAGAGAAATAAAATAAGTGAAAAAGGAATAATTGAGCAGTTGATACTACGATAATAACTACGCCTCAATTCCAAACAAGTTGGAGTCAGCTATATGAATTCTTATTTATGTCACTCTATTTAAGCCTGTCTCGGCCCAATATTATAAAATTGAGGATCCTCAGCGCAAGAAGTTCTCAAGATTCTAGCAAACGTCTTAACTTATATATAAAACGTTGACAGTGTTTGGATTGGCTTTTAAGCTGGTCAAATAAGTTTTTAAGCTCTTTTTAGCTTTTTTCAGTGTTTAGCAAAGCTATAAAGTTATTAAAATAAGTTTAAAAGTGCTTAAAATAAGCCAAAAGCAATTAAAAGCTATTTCTGCCCAAAAAGCCACTTTTTTTAAGCCAAGCGAAACGGGCTCTAAAAGACTTGTAGCAAACATTGAACCTAAAGTAAACGTGCTAACATGACTAAAACTTAATCCCAACATTTACAAAACAATGAAGGGGTTAAGTTCTCGAATTCTTCTAAGCCTAAAGGGGTTCAGGTGATAATCACCAAATACATTGCCATTGGCTTTACCCAGGACCCAAAATATAAAAATAAAAACAGATGTGGAAATATAGAGTAAAACATAAGGAGAGCAATTTCAAGCTTTTTTTAGTATAACCACAAGACCATATGGTACAACTTAAGAAAACTCAGTCCAGCATGATCATAAATGAAAACCCAAAATTAAAAATTGAAATGGAATGAGACATACAAATTGAGAAGATGGGGAAGTATATAATCAGAAGAACCCTTTGGGGAATTATAATCACCGGCGGCCGCTTCCTTACAGTAGTACCCTTCTCTCTGCTGATCATCCTTCATATCTTGGCAATAAGCAAAAACAGTTCCAACACAAAATAAGAAACACACACATATTATTAATTAACAGCCATATATAACAAAAAGAGTAATATATACCTTTGGAGTTACTATTATTTTCCATAGGGAGTTGGAATATATTAATGTTGTTGTTGGCAAAAGAAAAGTAGTAGGAATATGGTGTAGCTCGAGAAAGAGAGTGTGACGTGAAAGAGCGAAGCATGAAGAAGAAAAAATACAGAGAGAAGATGAAGGGAAAAAGAGCAAGAAAATGATGGAACTTTGAAAGTCGTATTTGGGACATGAGAGGTTTATTAGTGCTTTACGTGGAACTCCAACGTCCATTTGTGGAGTCGTCTCATTTGCTTCTCGTGTTTGTGTTTGACTGCTCTTAATTTCAGAGTTAAGCCTGGGAGCCGCAAACAGTCGGGTCGGGTCGAATATGGTTCGGATTAAAAACGGGCAATAAAAAAAGAGATAAATTATCCGACCCAACCATATTTAATATAGATTAAAAAACGGGTTAACCGGCGGATAATATTGATTTCTTGCATATGATCACTTTTGGGAGAATTCTTAACCTCTATTTGAGGTTTTATAAATGTAAAAGTTAGACTCATTGGTTATCCATTGCACTACTAGAAATTCGGGTTTTAGCGACCACAAAAAGCGACCAACGTTGGTCTGTTTATGCAAAATACCGACCAAAACCCGTCCAAACAGGCTTGGTCGCTATTTTAGTGGTCGCTTTTGTATATGACCAAAGTTGGTCGCTAATTACTGACCAAAGTTGGTCGCAAAGGTAAAAGGACCAACTATGTAATTTAAAGTACATACCGACTAACTTTGGTCGGTAACATATTTCAATAATTTAATTTTATCGACCAAAGTTGGTCGGTGTATGTAAATTACGTTATATTATTAATTATTAAAATTTAAAGATTAGCGACCAAAGTTGGTCGGTAAATGTGAAATCTAGGTAATCCTTGTTCATTAACCGACCAACTTTGATCGGTAATTATTAATTTATTAATTTATTTTAAGATTAAGCGACCAACTTTAGTCGCTAATCAGAAGAATTTTTTTTTAAATTAAATACCGACCAACTTTGGTCGGTTTTCTGGGTTTTAATTTTGGCATAAAATGCTTGTTTTGGCAGCTACACCACCTGCCAGCATACCAAAATTCCTAAACAGGCATTTTATGCCAACAACAACAACAACAACACAATTCAATAAATACATTAAAACTAACAAATTAAAGTTCAATAGAACTAAAAAATCCAAAACCAAGTTAATACTTATTACAACTAGTTCAGAAACGGTTCTATTTGTCTAGTTCAAAGTATATACAAGTCAAGGAGTGTTTTGTACAACATCATCATCACCGTCTGATGAACTTTCATCTAAAAGACGGTATCGAGAAGGGTCTTGTGGAGGACGTGAAGAACGACCACGGGGAGGACGGGAGGAACGATCATGGGGAGGACGGAAGGAACGCTCACGTTCAAGTCGAGCCTCTGGCGATGACTCAGGAGACCGGGGCAACGAAAAAGCTTCAGTAGATAGGTGAGTTCTGATCTGAGCTTGCATGCCAAGGAATTGAGCATCTCTAACCCTTTCTCTTTCCTTGGCCGCTTCTAGCTCGGATGTGAGCTTTGTCACAGTCTCCCGCATAGCGGAGAGGCTCTCACCATTAAGTTGCTCGCCTTGCGAGGAAGTCCCTATTCCTTGCATTTCATACTTATAGCGATGGAACTTTTTAGTAGGAAGCCCGTATACCTTCCCCCATTTTGGACCGCCATCAGACTCCATCCATATTCTTTCAGCATCCTCGTCCGAAGGTTGGGTTGGCTCGCCCGATTCACCAGCTGCCTGAGTGCGGATGAATTCCTCCACGTTAGTTTGGTAGCGACCCTATACGAAAATTTAAATTGAATTAATATTTCAAAATTTATATAAAAGTAAATTAAATTACTTAAAGAAAAGTGAAAGCTTACATATACAGTCGAGGCCCGGTCCTCGACCCATCTTTCTTGTTCTATCTCTTTCTTCTTCTTTACAATATGTGTCTCCTTGAATAGCTCATCATGGTTCATTGGACGCCCCAACTTCTTTTCCTGAAAAAAAATTAATTTAGTTAATAAACTGAATAGATATACTTTGAAAATTAAAATAATTTAAGCAATTACGTACCAATCTTCTTTTTATTGTCCCTAGGCTGACCGCACCTCCAGTGTGCAAGGAGCCTCCCTTCTCAGATGCGCGAGCTTTCTTTCCCTTTTTGCTCTTCTCTAAGAACTCTGTGGTAAGCCATTGCCTTTGCAAATCATCCCATAAATTTTGAAGTAACCAGTCAGGCTTCTTGTTCTTCTTTCTAGCTTCGGAGAAAGTATGTGACAATCGCTTGCGAGCTTTGTGATGAAAATTTGCAGCCACTTCCGCGCTATAGTGGTGTTCCCATACACACTTGCTATGTATTTTAAAAGTTAAATATTAAACAAGAAATATCATAAATATAAATAAACTGCTTAAAAGAACATTTATACCTTAAATCTATTGAAAATTTGCTCCTTCGGCGAGAATGGTAAATCAGTCCAAGTCGCATAAGGGCCATCATAAAGCTTTCTGATGGCTTTGCTGATTATCCTTGTAGTCCTATTACTCAGTATGAACCTGCAATTTAATAATAAAAACACATTAATATCTTAGTAAAAGCTTTACAAAACAATAAACACAAAAATAACAAATAACTCTTACCCATCACCCTCAGGAACTATGATGATCCTGCCATATTGATCATAATTCACCTCCTCGTCATCACCAGCATCATCGTCTGAAGCATGTATATTAGAGGCATGTGTGGACGGTGTAGGGGGGTCAGAGCTACTACCTCGCAAGCGAAGGCCTAAAATAGATGGAGTCCCTGATGAAGATGGCTACGATCCCTGTAACTGCGACATAGCTGGATGGACCTCAAGTGACTGTGATACTGATGGCTGTGACCCGAGTGGTTGTGATCCATGTGGCTGTGACATGGATGGATGCGATCCATGCGATGCAGATGGCTGTGATCCATGCGATGCAGATGGCTGCAATCCACGTGGTCGTGAGGCAGTTGGACTGAATGTCGGACGTATAGTCCTATGGCCCTATGATGAAAGACCTGGTGTCTGCATGAAGGTGTAGGGCTCGTGATGCTGTGGCAGCTCAGTATAGCCGTGGGGTGGAGGATAAGACATAGGCATCTCTGTATAGGGTGGAAAAGAGGGAGTATTATTAACTACCCTCCTCTTTTCCTTCCTAGCCTTTACTCGACCCCGAGAACCAGTAGGGTCATTGTTATCTTGACCCTTGCCTGCCATCTGCATAATATAATACATATTTAGATTGAAACATATAAGAAACTAGCTATAAAACAAGAGTTATTTAAAAAACCAATTTTTTAAAGCTCATCGACGTATTGTTCCTTGTCCGAGAATTCTTCGTCCTCACTTGTTTGAGCTTCATCAGTTGATTCTCGTCCTCATTTTCTATAATTGTTACTTCATTTATATCAACTTCTTCCAATATGTGTTCAGGATGTTCCAAATTATTTTCTAGCTGATCGTCCACTATTTGGTGAACACTGGAGATATCATTTTGATATGCAACATCTAACACATTCTCCACTTCCACCCTACCTACAGGCTTAGTTTTTATTACAACCCACCAATCAGACTTATTCCGGCGCAATGGATAAGGAGCATAATACACTTGCCTAACATTATGTGCAATTATGAAAGGATCATAGCGATCATACTCCCTCGTGTGATTAACCTCAAATATGTTGTATTGATTGTGTACTCTTGTACCTCTTGTTGGATTTGGGTCAAATCACTTGCATCTAAAGAGTATCAATTTCTTAAATGGCCAACCTGTATATGCTAGTTCTATTATTTCTATGAGCACACCATAATAATCAATATGTCCAACTTGGTTGCCATCACCACCTTGAACCCACGCCCCACTGTTGTTGCTATTTTTATTTTTAGAGCAATCCTCTGATGGGACTTATAACCATTCACTACGTACTTAGACATTGTTGTGACCTCAAGCCCAGGTCCCCAAGATATATCTTTCAAAAATTGGTTTACACCATTATTTGAATTATTTACCTACATAGTGTTAAAAAAAATTCATAAGTTAGCATAACTTACAAACATTATTTACGTACATAGTGTTAGAACATTATCAGGATAAACTTACAAATTGTTTGAACCACGTATCAAATCTCGTATATACAGCATCATGGCTAAATTGACTCACGAAATGACTGTGACACATCAAATATCTTTAGTAGTTGCATCAAGATGTAATCACAGTAAATTTTATATTTTGATAACTAATAAATCAATACTTACTTGAGAAATGGTACAGCTTCGGGATAATTTAGCAACACATGAAGTGTAGCTGACTTGTACTCCATATCACTCAAACTTCTCTTTCTAACATCCTTAGAACATCGGCCTGGTTGATTGAATATGGACATTGGCGGATATAATGGATCATTCACACATTCGACCGTGTGCCTATTGGGCCTATTCCTAGAACATGGCACATTACTCTCAAAATAATAAGAACAAAAATGAGCAGTTTCCTTTGCAAGATAAACTTCGCATATAGATCCTTCAATCCTATTCCTCTGCTTAACAAATTATTTGCATTTGCCAATTGTCCTACATAATGTCATGTTAGCCAAGAACATTCAAATAAAACAGAAAATTACATCAAACTTATAATATTACCTCTCAAAGGGATACATCCATCTGCATTGAACAGGCCCTCCAAGTCGTGCCTCGTGTATAAGGTGGATTGGAAGGTGTTCCATCACATCAAAAAAACCACATGGAAATATCTTTTCCATCTTACTAGAAGTTACTCGAATGTTCTGATCCATCCGGAGTAGGTTTTCTTCCCTTAATGTGGTAGAACACAAGTCTTTGAAAAACAAACTAATCTCTGTGATGGGTTTCCATATTCTTTCAGGAAAACCACAAAATGCAATAGGCACTAAGGTCTCCATGAAAACATGACAGTCATGACTTTTCAAATGGCTCAACTTCTCTACCTCCATATCTACTTTTTTTCTAAGATTCGACGCATAACCCTCAGGCATCTTCAATTTCGTAACCCAATCACAAATTTGCCGTCTTTCCTCCAAAGTGAATGTGTAACTTGCTTTGGGCTTAAACACATTACCATTGTTTGTTGTCTGCAAGTATAATTCAGGCCGCCGGTAATATTCTTGTAAGTCCATTCTAGCCTTCGGGTTATCCTTTGTCTTACCTTTAACAT